ATTATATAAACATACTTATAGGTCTATAGCTATTATTTAATATAATTAAATTATATTATATTAATCGATTATTGTTTTAGTATTTAGTATTAGTACCTATTTACAACCTATTGCGTAACTATTTTAACTATATAAAGCTTTAAAAATTAAAATTAAACTACCTATGGTCTATGCACGTTTGTTATAGACATGGAATAAATAAATTCCAATATATTTTCTGCCATGATGTTACCAACGGATATTTCTATCTCTCTCAGTTAATACTCAGTTGACATGCAATAGGCGAGGGGGGTGGAATGCGCGGTCCATAGTTATTAGGTCTATGGTACGAACACACGGTTCGTTGTTCAGTGTTGCCAGGTCTGGGGATTAATCCTCAATCTGGAGATTTTACAGGTGTTTGAGGAAAACGTTGAGGATTTCTATAATCTGAGGATTTTCTGGTGAATTTGATTAATAAGGTGTATAAATTCTTTTTTTTACCAAATTTTTTTTAAATTTACATCCATATATTTATTATTATAGTATTGTTATAATATTTATATTATTAGTATAATGATAGTGGCTCGATAATTATTACTAGATAAGCAGTTATAAGTTATAGTTTATCAGTTATAGTTTGTGCTTACCAGTTACCACAAGTTCTTTAATCGTATATTATGTGATACAATCATTGAACTCTATATGATAACATAAAGTTATCATAATATTATATACTATGTAGTATTCAATGGGTACAGCCACAGATACATATATATATTTTATATATTTTATTCATTTTAGGTATCTATGATTTTATTGCTAACATTTATCATGAATCATTATAGATAAAAATAAAAGTTTTAATTTACACTATGTACACTGTACATTGTACACTAAAATACTAAATGTCTTGTAGTATTGTAGCTACATAGTACATACAGATAGGCTTAACCAAGTATTTTATTTAACTTTTTTAATTTAATWTTTTAAATCTAAACAAATATGAATTCTGATGATTCTGACACTGACGGAAGCCAACATAATCAATCAAGATTTGGGCCAAAAAAAAAATCGTATTCCCACAAATTTTGTAGTGAATGGCTGRAARATAAAAATTTTCGTTTATGGCTTGCACCTAGCAAAAAATCTCAGCTTCATTTTCATTGCAAATTTTGCAATGATGATAATAAAGGTGGTAAATCTGCGGTCCGTAAACATATGAACACTTCTAAGCATCAACGGGCAGCAAAGTCAATACAAAATGTGCATTCCATCGAATCACATCTTGGCAAAGCTACTACAATAGAAAAAAAAACTAAAGAGGCTGAAATGAGAATTTCAATGTTCATATCAGAACACAATATTTCCTTTAGAACTTCAGACCATCTCGTTCAATTAATCAAATCTATAGACTCAGATGCGGTAAGTAAAATATCATGTAATAGAACTAAGGCTACTGCTATTGTAAACAATGTACTTGGTGCTTCAAGTTTTGAAAATCTYATTGACAAAATAAGACATCAAAAGTTTACAATGTTGATTGATGAATCAACTGACAAGTCAGCCTCAAAAAATTTGGCTGTAGTCGTTCGTTTATTAGATTTCAATAATTATATTGTAAGAGATCAATATTTAAGTTTGATTGAAATACGTGATGGAAGCGCTCTTGGAATATACAATGCTATCATAAATTTTTTCAATAAACACTCAGTGCCTTATAAAAATAATCTTGTCGGGTTTGCTGCAGATGGAGCCAGCACCATGTTTGGAAGGCACCATTCTGTCAAAACATTGTTGAAAAATGATATTCCTAATTTGTACACTATGAAATGCATTTGTCACTCACTAGCATTAGTTGCTTCGTATGCAACACAAAAAATTCCTGATGAAATAGAAAAAACGGTTAGAGAAATTT